ACTCTGCGATTCTACCGCCTGGCGGCGCAGACTTCACAATGCGCAGGGGGCGCTCATCGAAGATTGAGCGCAAGATCTCGCGCAGCCGCTCGATGGCGCCGCCTCCGTCCTGGCTCAGCGCACTGGAGATCAGTGCGGAAACGTCCTGCTCTAGCAACTTCGTCGTGCCGGAGTTGACCTGGAATGCTTTGTGGACGTCGCACGTCCAGGATGAATGGCACCAGCTCTCTGGAGAGGGCTCATCAAACCGATCATAAAGCATGGATCTCAAGGCGCGGTGGTTGGAACCGAATCTGTCGTGGCTTCCCAGGATAACTTTCCACTGGAACACGGAAGCAAACTCCAAGAATCCAGGTATGTCATCCCATGCTGCCGTTAAGGCTTTCTTGGTGCACTCTGCAGTTGTTCTATCGACGACTGCCAAGGGCACAGGAATTCGACCTCGGACCTGGATATATTCCTTCTTCTGCTGGTCATAAAACAGCATGACCATTTCATGTTGGACTTGCATCACTTTGGCTTGGTGAGTTCCAGCTGCTTTACAGAAGGGGACCGCCTGGTCGACCGTCAATCGCATTCTTGTGGGTGTTTCGTCAAACTCCAACTGTGTAGTGAACAAAACAGGCAGCAAACGCTGCGACTCCACGGCAGCCCTCAAGGAGCGGAAAGCACCGGCCCACAGCAAACTGGAGCTCTCTTGCAACGCTGACGCGCAGCGATGCATGTCACGGCCCAAAGCTGTTTCGTCCTGATCCAGCTGTCTGGCCACACCTCTTTTAGACTGCGACAACCTTCCCGGATCACACAACTTATCCAGCAAGGGGTTCTCTCGCGCCTCGGGCTTTTGCTTGTCCACATGATGCCACGACGCACCGCAGAGGCAACATTGCACATGTCGGCCGATGTTCCTCAGCAGGTCCCACAGATTGGAGGCACGATGCCACAGGGACACGACTCCACTGTGTGGCATGGATTGGCCCGCCGACTCATCGATCTCGTTGGCTGCTGCCTTCCTGGCATCGCTCTTTGCCGCCCGCGCTGCGCGGGCATATTCCGCACTCCCGGGCTGTGGCCCCTTGCGTTGCGGTGGCCTTGCTTGCTCGGCTTCAGCAATGGCAGCAGCTAGCTCGCGGGAAACGGCAGGGCGGCCTGGACCACGCTTGGCCCGAGTCGCTGCACTAGCTGGCACAAAAGAGAAGGCATGTCCGCTGGAAAGGTTTTCATGGGTGACCCCAGCGGTCTTCGCTTCACCCATCTCTGCATCCAACAGTTCACTGACATCTTGTTCTAATCGCTCTGGGCCTAGGCCTGCAAGATCCTGGGCCGGCGCAGACAGATCCGCTGCAAACACATGCATGTCACTCGGGCTCGGCTCCAACACATCAACGTCATCCAACGAATTGTCTGCAGAAGCTGGTCGCGCAGCTTCCGAAAGAAAGGAATCCGCCAGCTCATCAAAAGCTGGCACTTCCGGCTCTGAAAGAAGAAAATCCGCAAGGTCTGAAAAATCAGTATCCATGGGTCCACGACAGCGAGTCGAAGCTATGTTTGCATGCCACACATCTGTCTAAGATTTAGAGTCTCGATGCGTCCTAAGCACCAATGGCATGTAGTGTATAGCCTAGTCAGTTCTAGTGATTCTAGTGTAGTCTGGTCACCGAGTCTGGTCTAGTCTAGTGTTGTTTTTATCCAGCGTAGTCGGACTTACGAGTAAACTTACGCAAACATACATACATACATATAAATATGAACTCATCACAAGGTCGGTCTTCAGCCTTGTGCAACAGTATGACTCTGGGTGCGAAACTCGTCGTTTCTGGTTGAAGTGTCGCTGGCACATGTTCATCTGCATGGCTGAGATGCTGCATCCAGAGGAGATCAGACAAAAGAAATCTAGCACAACCCCTGGAGTCAACTGCCACGAGCATGCTGCGCGCATCCCAAAGACTGCAGACCGAGAACTCATTCAGGTGCAATGCACAAGGTCCTCGGCCGGCTGATCTTCAGGAACAAGTTCATGTTGAGCTGAAGCTTCAAACATCGGTAGCCGTGCTTAAAGCAGCAATTCCCCATGTCGGCGATGAACCTGCATCAAGCTGACCGAGGACACTCTTCCCGGACTGCCTGAGGGTTTGGGGCTAAAGCTACAGCGACTACAATGCAATACTGCAGAGAATCGCAAAATGCTGATTTTGCGTACGGCAGATATCCAACGCATTTACGGGATTGGGCGCCTGGGGCCTAGCGCATGAGGGCGTTCTGTTCAGGCTTCCTTCACGTCAGCCACTCAACCCCTCTGCGGGTGATCTACCAGTTGTGCGCAGTAGTGACTAGTGACTAGTGTTTGCGAAGGGCCATGTGTTTGCCTGGAGCCTAGGTTCCCTACAGCTACATGGGAAGTAGGACGTACTTGCATATAACGGAACTACTTATAATTATAAATAGCTTAGTGGGCATCTTTTCCAGAAGGTTCCATTTCCAAGTAGTTACAGCCACTGAGCTGCGTTGCAATTTCTCTGGGTTCCCGAAACCTGGAAGTATGTGGGAATTTCCGAAAATAGGGGACCTTAATATCGTACCCTAAATGATAGGATCCTTATAATTATAATAAGGGCCCCAAAATACGGTACCCCTATTTATATAACCCTATTTTCGGAAAATCCCATTTGGGAGCCCCAGCACCGATATCCGATGTCCTGAACCTTGTACCGAAGCCACCAATGCCTGAAGGAGGCTGTAAGGAAAGCCTGGGGCCTAGGACTGCCTAGGACGACTCGAATCATGCTCTTCATCCATTAGCCGTAGCCATGAAAACATCACCGCCGGCTGGAAATCCGACTTCCGCATGCCCTCCATGCCCAAACGACTCAGAGTCTAGTGTCTAGTGAATTTCGTGACTATAAGGATAAGGCCAAAGCGGCTTAATTAAAGGATTTTGGGCCAGTGTTCGGGGCTTTGGGCCTGCAGTGCTTCATAAGATCATTAGGTACGGCTAGGGCGGCTAGCAACGTGTTGCATCACAACAGGCGGAAGAATGCTCCTCAACCGGCGCTGACTGTAGTATAGTACACAGCAGACACTGTATACTGTATACTGATACTGTATACTCAAGAAACAGTCAGTACGAAGTGAAAGAAAAGGAACATGCCTCCTCAGCGGTGTCTCCTCATCTCCGGCGTCCTCCTTGAGATCAAGCCCAAGGACCTGTTCCACAATGACAGCCTTGGGCTCAAAGTGTTGCAGCCAATCAAGTAATTCACGAGTCATCACACCGTACTCACGGTGGTTCGCAACTGTGCCGTTGGCGAACCTCTTGGCACGCTGTACAGAGAATGGATGGCACGGAGTACCGATCACGGCTAGGTCTGCTGTCTGTGGAGCGGCAACGCATCCTTCTACAGAGTAGCTGTGGAAAACACAAGGCTTCCCCTGTCTCTGTGCTTCCAACGAGTCAAACCAGTGTGTGGGAGCTTGACCGTCGGAGTTCTCAAGAACAAAGTCACGGCACTTGTGGCTTGGATCAGATGCACTCATCACAGAGTACGGAATGCCGAGCGCCTGCGAAGCACAGGCAAGGCACAATGAATATCTCTGGACAGCGGTGGGCACAACCCGCAAGCCTCCAACATTCCTGACACATCAAATTGCCACACAACACAAGGACCCTGCCTTCAGCACTTCGGCTTCTGCACAGATGCCCGTGCATCCGGAAAGCACCTTGACGGGCAGAACTCTCCTGGGCAAAGCGTCCATGTCCGTCATGCTCTTCAACCTGGTTGCCCACCAAGAGGTTGGCACATCCACCTGTGATGGATGGGGCTCTTCCGAGCTCAGATTGCTCTGCAGCACAGAGCCCAATGTCGAAACGGCAACAGTCTGAGCAGGAGCAGCTTCTGGCTGCTTGCCAACAGGACTTGTCGCTTCCCCAAGCAGCTCGTCAGCCAAGGCCAACCAGTCATCGCAAGACATGCTGATGCCCTGCGTCTACTGGCGGCTCTCAAAGCCCTAGAGGCCCTAGAAAGGACCTGCACGATAAAGCTCACTGAGCCTCCAACGCCGTCAGAAGCACTCGAATCTGCTCGCTAATTTTTCGCAAGGGTGTGGCAACACTCCCGGCGCTCTCTGCGAACTCACTAATTCAGCTCTCAAATAACTCACAAACTAGTTGCAACCCTCTTGCCGCTCACTAATTATTCACTAATTCAACTCACAAATAAATCACTAATAAATCACAAATATATTGTTTGACATTGACCTCAATCATTACCACAAGTGCAGGTCACAACACTAGCATTGCTTAAACCCGAATTACACGTTATGTTGGTTAACATGACATAGCAACACAGGTATTTAATTCAATATTGACCAATAGTTGGATGTCAAGTAAATGTTGAAGCGAGGACTAGCTGCATAGTAATTATAGCACAGACAAAAAAATACAAACATGTTGTAACCATCTAGTGCTAGGCATGTATTGATTCCGCATTCGGGCAAAACTAGTCGCATCGTTGTTACACTACACGAACACTACTTCAATACGCACTGAGTATGCAGGCAAGTACGTGGCCACGTAACCGATATCACGTGAGTAGCAACGAGGTATTTGTGGTTGAGCAATGATGAAGGAGCTATTACATGTAAATCAAAACGGCACCTATATGGGATGAACATAATTCTCGATGTTGCCACCTGTATTCGCACTTCTTATTAACGTGCTGCATTGACGGTCTTGCCTCTCCATCAGAATATGTATTGCTGTTCAACATGACGCTAAACCTCTTGACGTACGTAGATAAGTAGATAAGCTGCCATGGAATTGGACATCCAATTTTGGTGCCTCAAGAACACTCGTATCTGTACAACGATGCAGATACAAATGGTAACGCTTTGCGGGGTTTTTTGTGCATACTGCATACTGTCTACAAGCATTCAACCCGTGTAGTCTCTTTACAGCCAAGAGGGGGCCTACCGGGTTTCCCCCTCCCTTCTGGGGACCCCACTGGCGGCATTTGTCTTCGTCTGCATGGCAGATTGCTTCGCTGGCAGGTTTGCCTTGCTGCCGTGGCGTTGCCTCCTGGGCACCTGCTAGGAAGCATGCACCAAAGCTGCTCCAGTACAACGGTGTGACAGTGTCAAGCCAGTGATTCCTACATGTCCCAGTATCCTACCGGCCTCAGCTGGGACGGCTTCCATTTCCTGAGTTTCCTCCTTTGGCTTCTTCGCCCTCCGCTTCGGATGCTGCTTGCGCTTGGCAACAGCTTTTGGCTCTTCGGAGACGGTCTGGGAAACCTGGCACTGCCACGTAAGTGGGGGTTGTCTGTGTTCGCGAGAGCAGAGATCAAGGAGATTTGACTTTGACATTGCAGAGCATCGATTGCACACAGCGGCACAGCGCGCTTGGCGGACCCTGTCGGGCTGACAGGACTAGCGGCGCTACACATGGCCACCTCCCATTGGTACAGGCTGTTCGGGTGAACCCGATTCGCATCCACAGGTAAGGTTTGTTGGCAAGCTCTTACGCCAGGTTTCTTGGTTGAACTGCATCGATTCACAATGGTTCCTGCAAAGCTTCCCTTGCTCTGGCGGTCTCGCTGGAGCGAGCTTCTGGTAGTTTGGGCGGAGAATTACTCCCAGATCAAGCAGAATAAGGGCCAAAGGCTTCATGGCGTGACTGATTATCAGCACTTACCGCCCTTCTTTCAGGACATTCCTGAGCCGTGACAGAGAGAGAGAGACAGGGGAAAGAGAGAATGAGGAGATACTCAGAGAAGTCTCAATCTTGTGGGAGAGGAGTTTGAAGCTTGAGGGGGTGACCACCACCACGCCCCCCCGGCCGTCAAATGCCCCCACACCTCTGTCAGAAAAAGGGTAACTGAAAGTGGCGAGAACGGCTGCTTCTGTAGCCACATACTCAACAGCCAGGACATGAAGAATCGTCCGTGCAAATGCCTTACTCTTGGCAGCAGTTGCCGATACAGGCACCCATCTCTTCTGTGGTTCACCTTGGGAGAAGCTCTCGAGGCGGGCAGAAAGCTTCCTACTTGCACCACACACAGCTGCAGGTGAGCCGCTGGACTTAACGCCAGTTTTGGGCGGCATTGGCCCTCATTGACATGCGTCATTTTATCCCTGCTGTCTGTGCCTTGAGCCGATGTTGCAGTTCGAACATGTCCTATCACCAGTCTTGCAGCTAGTTAGAATGCCCGTGCAAAAGCAGGGTATACTAGGATGGTTTTCATTGAATCGCAGGCCACCGTAGCTGCGACACGTCCGACCCAAAGGACGCCCGGAAAAGTAGATCATCCTGCTGGCAGAAAGCTTCATTATCGTCGAATTAGCCTGACAACGCCATGAGAAGCAAAACTAGGTGACGGTAGGTCGTTTCAGATCACGAGACGCTGTGAAGCTGAGCAGACTGCGAGCACTTGTCCGTGCAGCAGACAATCTTTTGTCAAAGCTATCTGGGCAACAATCAATCATCCATGAACTGCAGGGTTGCAGAATACCGAGAGGAAATACCCGACAGCTTGCACTGTTAGTCATGTGAGGACAACATGTATTCACCAAGTCGGAATCTGCAAGAAGATGTGAGACTCCTGGCTTCGTACCCAGTGATAGAACCTCAGAAAGTCCAACAGGTAAAACTTTCGCATCACGTCGGCTGAGGGCCAGACTGAGCAATGACTCCGGTTGAGATCCCTCGCGGAACGGAGAGGAAAAGTTGGTAGTCGGCTGCCATAGACACGTAGAAACACCTCTGCTCAGCTTGTCAGCAGCTGTGGCTACGATTCATATCACGGGACCTGCCCTTCTGTCTTGAGCGCAGCACTCATGGTCCGTTGCGACGCATATCTGGCACGGCACCTCGCATTGCTCTACGCAACTGTACTAACCTCTCACTGAGCTTGGCAGCTTAGCTATCCGCTTTGGCATTGCGCAGTAGTTGACGACAACGTCCATAATTTCGGAAAAGCATTTTCACTCTGCGTCTCGACTGGTACGCCCTGGCCAGAACACACATCTCAATCCGGCATTAAGCGGCACTACAAACGCATCGTTCGGTAAGCATCTGGCTCTGCGATTTGTGAAGAAAAGTACTGCTGCAAGGCTGGCACATAGTACCTAGTGGACGCCAGCGATCTGACGCGAAAAACGAAAATTGCTTATCGACGCAGCGACCGGGAACGTAGGCATTGTCGATACGCTGCAGGCAGAGGTGTCGCTCTGTTCTGGACGAATCATCGAGCAACGAGAGTCTAGAGCAAAACAAGGTCCAACGTAGGGTTGTGGCAGCAGCAGAAGATATGAATTAAGATGAGCTATGTGCAAGTGGGCCAGTGTGCCTAGTTTCTTGCGCAGATAGTCGCATGTTCGAGACCGGAGTGATGTATGCAGCAACACGCTAGCGCTGGCTGCTTGCTGGTGCAATATCAGTGCTAATCTACCCCATGAACGATGCGGCTACCAGAGAGGCCAAATCCGAGAAATACAGCTCCCTTAAGCCGACGAAGGCAGGTCGTGTATGGAGGGATAAAGCCACACGGAGCAGCACGAAGGTCACGCGGCATGTATGACACCCTCCAGCAGCCTGGCAGGTGAGATGCACTCGCAAATGAGTGTGAAGAAACAAGTCATCTAGGCGGGTGGACTGCCACTGCGGGTTTCCAGGCGCCTTGGTTCAGTGACGGTGGAAATCATGTCCACAAGAATCTAGGCGGCATTCGAAGCATCCATGCGTCTCTTGGACATGACACAAGCTTCAGAGGAGACGGTGCTGCATCATGACAGTCATGCAGAGACTCTGGTGCTGGCAAGGAGTGATCTTCTCGGTATTGAAGCACGTGCACCTTTCGCCAACCGCTGCGCTTGAGCGCTATGCATGTCGCATGGGACAGCGACACTTGCATGATTGCCGTATGTTGCGATCACCAACATCGGCAAATCGGATTGATTGCAAATCGAAACTTGAACGACACAAACCAGCCTGGGCTGGATTCTGCAGAAGCCTAGGTGTTGGTGAAAATTGAGCAGTCGTGGTATCGTTGTCGCACGAATCCGAGGGAGTTGGTATGAGCCATATCCTCTGTACAAGTACCCGTGCGTGGGTGCAGTGCATAAGCCTGAACCCAATCATCGGCAAGCTATCTGTGTCTTTATGATTCATGCCACTGCGTACCTGCCACTGACTGCCTTTCTATCTGCGCCATATTCGTAGTAGATACCACTACTTTACTTGAAAGCATTAGACAAAAAGGCACCGGCGTTGAGCGTCCCTCGGGAAACTGATGCCAGGTCAATCGGACCTGAGAAAGGCTTACAGACGGTCAAATGTCATAGAGGTCGTAGGGACCGAGGTGAAAACTTTTGGAGATTGCTTCCTCGATGCCCTCAGCACAGCCGGGCCTGTAGATCTTAAATCGAAAACCCACGGCCGACGAAAGCTTCGGAAGCTTGCAGAGATTGGGCGCCCTGCTGCTTCAACGCATCCTTCACCTGGTAAGACTTCAACATTTCGACTAGTGTATGGCGCAATCCAAGAATGACAGTCTGCAGCTTCAATTTGGCCGGCTTTGCCATGGCAGCTTGTTGTGAAATTGCGTAGAACTGCTCGCCGTCCGATGCTGTGGATAGGAAGACCACCCCAACATCCGAGCCTCCGGACATCAACAACGGCTGCGCAAACATCCCGCATACTGCGGGAGCGATTCTGGCCTGCCTTCCAGGAAGGAGATGTATGCATACGCAAAGCCCTGTCAGCCCACGCGCAGGAACAACTCTTTTCCGACCAAAGCGAAGGCAGGTCGGCCGGTCATGCCTACGTTGGATGTAGCATGATGTCGCAACGAGACTAAAGCAATGCTATCTCTCACAGCTGGAAATTGCCGAGATCACGGAACGCTCTGATGGCCTTATCATTGTACTGGCTCATGCACACGGGTGTCCACGACTCTCCCGTCCGCAGTGAAGCAGATGACATGATGATGTTGATCACCATGCCTTCAGGGAACAGTGCTGGCGGCTGGGCAATTGAGTTCGAATGGGCATGTGCCCAACAAGACCCCTGCCCAGGTCCAGAGCGTTTAGGCGATACTGCCTGGCAGCACTGGTATGATTGCAAGACAGACCCATTCGAATCGTTTGCAACTCGCTGCACCTGTTCGAGACGGCGCTGAGGACCCGATGCCCTGCCTCCGGTCAGGCGGAAAGAAGAATGATGAAGAATGCAAGGAATTCCCCTGAGATGCGGACCATCAGAAAGGCAAAAAGAACGTTTGGAAGTCTCGCTGACTTCAATGCCTTCACTATGTTTTCACAGGATGCAAGCATGCACACAGGCAGGCGTTCCCAACGATTGAAAGACACAAGCCTCCGTTGCTGCGTTTCGCACGCTCGGGGCCAGAGGAAGCGCTTCAAACCCCTCGCACTGCAAGAACATGTCCTGCAAGTGGAACTAAAGCGTCGTTTCACGTTGCCTCAACTATCGAAGTTGCTCCTGCACACACCATCGAATCATGCTGTTGACGACCTGCTCCGTGCCTGATACGATACGCACAAAACTCTGAAAACGCAACTCACGGAATCGATGCAACTGGCCTCCAAGCAGGCCTCTCATGTCGTAGTTGGGGCGGCTGACTAGAGTTCTTTCCTCGTCTGCTGCCAATGACATCAAAAAAACACGCATTTGACGTCAGACGCAGGACGGGAAGCCCCGAGCTCTCACCCTTCCTGCATGGTGGCCAACAGCCACCTGGTGCCCCCATCACATGCTTCTTTGGCAGTAAAACACCACTCGACGGCGCTCGTGCAGAACTCCTTCCTCCCCTGCCGCGCTCTGAGGCCCATAGGGGCGCGTAAGGTTAAGACTCTGCAAAACCATTGCAATGATTCATGCGAGTCTCATCTCCGACACCACAAAACATTGCCCGACCGGAAACTCGAGTGCATACAGGCGAGCGAATACTTCCATGCTAGATGAAAGTTTGCGACATGGCAGACACATCTGCGATACCCAGTCTTTGCTCTTCCTTCAGTCCAAGCATCGATTCCTGCCGTGAGGATGGTGATGATTTGCATGTGGACGCGCCTTAGTGTCTGTAACGATCACAAGAGGACGAGTTCGTCTGTCAAAGACGTGCGACTGTGACCGGCAGAAGTCAGTGCTAGGACTTCCAGCACTGCAGTCTGATCAGAAATTGGGGATCCGACTCCAGCAAGGATACCATGTCACCATAGAGATCGCCACTGCAGGATATGCAGACCAACCTGGCTGCAATCTGTCTGGTCATCTGCATATACTCTGCGAGATGCGAAGTTGAGTTTCCAGTTCTCAAGCAGAGAGAGCGCACCACAGGGGTCCTCTC